TTTTTTTTTTTTTTTTTTTTTTTTTTTTTTTTTTTTTTTTTTTTTCTTTTCCGTTGTCCTCGTCGCCAATGTAATGTTTCTGAAGGAGACGAAAGGAGAAAAGACAACACAAGATGATGGATATGCTGGAACACAGACTTTATTATAGCACTCAGATTACAATTAAAGAGAGACGGCGGAACACACTTGAGATGTTTTCACGTGAGGCACTTAACGCGATCTGACCTGGACGCCTCGTTACATCGATAGATGACTGCTGAGCAGTTCGACCTAACTACTACATATATGTCGACAGGTGGCGCTCGCATTACGTACACGACGCTATTACATATTGCACAGGATACACCTCGAAATAATCACTCGCGAGGAATATTTAGTATAGGAAATATATTCAAAATAAATTTGAGAGAATACAAATATTACTCGCGGGTGAAGGTGTATGAATGTGTGTGTGTTCTCGCACGTCGAGCAATCGTGAAGCAATCTAGAACTCACTCTTTCCTTGCTTGAGGGTGAGTCCTGCTTCACGCACGCGTTTCAGCACGTGTTCTAGCCATTTCAGATGCTTCTCAAATGTCTCCGTGACAATTAGTGTGTCATCGAGGCAGATATAGGCATACAGCTCGATCTCTGGCCTAATGTCGCGGTTAATCAGTCGCTGGAACGTAGCCGGCGCATTACTCAGGTAAAATGACAACCGTTGAAATTAAAAAAGTCCCTGCCTTGCACCGTAAACACTGATATCGGATTATTCTTTTCGGCTAGCGGAATCTGATGGTACGCGCTGCTAAGATCGAGGGTAGAAATAAAACGCAACCATCTCCGCTTGTGCCGGATCGTATCCATGTGAGGCACAGGGTACGCGTCGGGTACTGTCATAGCGTTTACTTTCCGGTAGTCAACGCAAATCGGTACTTCCCGTCCTTTTTGCGTCTCATGACTACCGGACTTGCCCAGACACTATTAGATGGTTCTACTACGCCAATTTCAAGCATCTCAATCACATGGACATTTATGACCTCCTGGATCTTGTCTGAAATAGGGTCGAACTTTTGCTTGATAGGCCGAGAGGTCGTAACCTTGATCTCGTGCTCGACCCACTTAGTGCAACTTAGGAGAGCTTCCCGCTCTACGTAGCAGTCAAGAAGTGTCTGCAACCCTTGATGTTGCTTGGACGAAATTTTGTTGAGCCCTATGGCAGCGAGTCGTACCTCGCCCGATGCCGTCAGGCCTGTTACCTTTAAAGTGACCTTGATCCCTTGTCCTTTTATCACCAGAAACTTTTGATGACGTTAGCGCTGACATAGCAATCAGTGTCTAACTCAGGCAATCCTATGACATCCACGTCCCGTTTTACCCCCATAAATGCGAAGGGTAGAGTGACGAAGCCTAAAGTGCGTGACGGTCGTCCATCGGCCATTGCCGCGCTCCCTAGCGTGGGGCCTAGTTGCCGATGACAGGAGTTGGCTATCTGGAGCTCGACTGCTCGCATGATAGTGTGCGTAGCGCCAGGGTCGTATAACGCTCGCAGCTTGTACCCGGCTACTTCAAGCTGTAGCCACCACCGGCGCGCGTCCTTCGATGCAACCGTGGCCTGTGAGGGTTGGTTAGAGAGAGGCGGCGTAATACCCTCGTTCACGTCTGCCTCCTCTCGTTTCCTTGCCTTTTATTGGGGCAATCCCGAGCGTAGTGGCCAAGGTGGTTGCACTGATAGCAGCGTGACTGCAACTCCTGCGAAGGAGACCTGTCTCTCTGGGTGCCAGAATTTTTCGTGCCTGACCCATCGTTCAGATTTCGCCTCGGTGAACGCGAGCCCGAACCTCGACGTCCATTCGCCTTGGGCGAAAGAGGTGTGTGTAATCGTCACCCCTGTTGACGGGGCCCGTTTGAGGAGTGGGAGCTCTGCTTTGGCTTATTAGCATATTTAGCCAGGCCTGTTCGACGCTTCTCGACGTAAAGAAGGTCAAGCAGCAGCTTCACTATGTCCTCATCAATAGCAGGCTTTCTGACCTTCTTTTTGGTCAGCTCATTGACTATTTCTGCCGAGTACTCGTCCATCATGTCGAACTTAGCAATCTTAGGGGGATTAGCCAATTTCTTTGGCAACTCATCAATTGCCTTTCGAAGAGCAGCTTCTTCACTGCAGATGAACGCTATATCTTGTGCATTACCGCTCAAAGGTTGGGCTTTGCTAATACTCGCAGCCTTTGGCTGTTTCTTGTCCTCCGTAGCCTTAGCTTTGCGCTTGTATGCCAGCTCTGGCAGGTAAAAATTTTCCGGTGAGAGCGGCTTACGGAACGCACTCCTGAGCTCCAAGAGGCGGTCCACCTCGGTGGTCCTTCACAGCAGTTCTGCCAGACTGCGAACTTCGTCTCGTCTGATTCGATCCTGTAACTCAGGAGGCATATTCCTGTGGAACAGATCTAGTTGGCGTTCGGCAGGTTATGGGAGTTGGATTCAACGCACAATTTTCTCAATCTGCATTAGAAAATTGCGTACGGACTCGCCAGCATATTAGGTGCGCATTTGTGCGTCCAAGGTTAAGCGACGCTGCACCTCTTTACTTGAGCCGTACCATTCCTGGCCTGCAGCCATGAAATCAGCCCAGCTGATCCACTGGTCGCATTCGTTGCGGAACCACGTCACTGCAATGCCAGTCATAAGCTCTGCTTCCGTAAGTTCTGAAGTTGTGCGGCACTCAGTAATACGCGTGAGGAAGGAGTCAAACTTGTCGTGACTTTCCCCCGTAAACTTTACGTTCCATTGCTGGACAATTTGTCTTAAATCACGGCATCCGAGGTCGGCGTACGACCTGCCTGACCTCGACTGTCTTTCCGCCAAAGGCGTGATACTCCCCCCGTGAGGCTGGACGTGTGGGGTCAACTGGTGCAGCCGAACATGGGGGCAGGTTGAAGTATGTCAGATGTGTTGACGAGCTCATCGCACACGTGTGTGGCCGCGTCGTGAATGCTTGTGTTTGCGTTGTACGTGCCGGTGACGCCGGCCGTCGAGTACCCACTCCTTTGCGGGTAGCTTACTTGTGCCGTGTATGCACTCATTGCTGCGCATACCGGGCATGTCGCTTGCACCCAGCTGACTGGATTCGGTAGACATACGCGTCCCATCGTCGTGGGTGGCAGTGGCGATAAAATGTGGGCCAACGCCGACGCTAAGTCTACATTGTATCGGCCGTTTCCGAATAGTGTAGCCTCCGATCGTGCGAGATCCGCAAACGCCTGCTCGCCAAATATGGTTTCGCGCCTTTTCGCCGGCACGTTGTCGCTTGGGAATGTCACATTCCTTCTTTAAGGCTGACTCTGGTTCGATGTCACAGCCAAACTTATTCGTGTTAAGTTCGCGATGCTTTTTTTGGCTTCTAATAGCCTATCGTGCAGACATCTGTTCTCTTTTTTGAGAGTCTGCTCTGACTCAGCTTTTCTACTTTCGTCCGAGTTCCTGATAGGCGAGGACGTATTAATGAGGAGCTCGTCTTCATTCGTCACAGCTGTCGGGACATCCAAGGCTTCAGCCTGCGTGTGTGTCATTGCCGACGTCGTCGTGGTTTTTAAGAGGTTATTCGCCTCCTCACTGTCTTGCACTATTTGTAGCGGGTGTATGACGTCAGTTTGCTCGTTTACTTTCGCAAGCTCCTCGCAGGCTTTTGATATCATGAGGTTACGAGCCTCTAGCCGTCATAATACGGCTGCGTTGATATCCTCCGCTGGCTCAAAATCCTCGGGGACGTATTTTCCCGCGAGCTACTGGTAAAGGCGGTGAACCCTGACTGCATTGCTGCCAGTCGTTAGCAACTCGAGGTTTATTAAGAAATTCGTGCTCAGGTCATTTTTTATTAATGACCTGATAAATTTATTTACCGTATCTGCTTAATCCCGTGGTATCGATGCCATGATCCTTTTTGTTATTAAATGCACGCTACACAATAAGAAAAATTACTGGCAGTAAGTGTACAGTGCCGCAACGCAGAGATTAGCTTGGAAAAGAGAGCTGACAGGTAGGGTGAATTTGTGCCAAAGCGTTAGTTGGACGCAAATTTCCGCCTAAATTTGTGCCTTAAGGCTTTAAATTAAATTAATAATTTATCATAGCTTTTTGTTTCAAGCTATCAGCTGCAGGGGAATCAACTCCCTCAACTCTCTCTTTTGTGTGTGTAAGTGTGTAGTACAATGTTAAGTACAATTATGTTTAGTGTACCTGCACCCGTACACTACTGCTAGTGTGCTCTTTGCACTACCGGTCGCGAGAAGCCAACAGCCGTGTATACCTATATACCGGCGTATACGCGCTGTGTGCTCTACTTGCGCTGTGGATCAGCGTTCGTCGCTTGTGAAAATCAGATTTCACAGGCTTAGCTTGTTGGCCGTCGGAAATAATATTTCGTCTCGAAATATTATTTCCCTTCTCGCTCGCACTCGTATACAAAAATTTTGAGTGCTGAAAGTCAGCAACGACTTAAAATTGTCACGTAAACAAAGCCGTTGCTTTGTTTACACGCACGACCTATACGAGTCTGCCGGTGTCTCTCGCGTGCGTTATACGCGTTCTCCGCGCTATATACGCGATCTGTTGTGTTTTTGTTTTGCTGTAGCTACTGCTACAGCACCTATTCAACTATTACTATAAGTATAGCTATAATATTTGTCATCTACCTTGTAGACGACGTCGCGCGATACCTAACCGTGGGTTTTTCTATGTCGGGCACCAATGTTACGGGGTGCTGCCGACGCGGAGTAGCGAGGCGGACTTGACAACCCCGACTGGGCCTGTGCTGCCCGGGTACCCCCGGCGACACCTCCGATAAACTTTATACGCGGGTCTCGCTCTCCGAGACATTGCAGGTGACGAGTATCGCGGCGACCTTGCACGTCGTCGCCTCTCGCGACGACTTTGGTACGACACACGGGAATCGAGCACACACAAAAGGAATCACTCGCGACCAAGTTTAAAATAAAACGATATATTCAATTAATAAATAAAAGATTACACTTCGTNTTAATTGAAAAACTATTGGTGTGTATTTGTCAACAGTATTGATGGTAAAAAAATGATAAAAAATTTTTTAATGGCATGTTGTAGTTGTATACGAATGCAGCAATTTAATATGAAAGAGCTCTATGAAATATTTATGAACAATATTGGAATTATAACTTAACCAATCGAGAATAACAACTATCGATCAAAAATTAACAAATTTTAACTAGAAGTGTGAGTTACAGCGTATTGAAACTAAAGGCTCATGACTTTAACATAGTACATAGTCACAAAAACTGTATTTTGTGCAATAGGTTATTACTAATGTGTAATAGTAGAGTTGAAGGTTTGAAACAAATAAAATTATGAATATTCTGTGTACTTGAGCTCTGGTGAAAATATTTTGTTTCAGTAGTATTGAATGTCAAAGAAGTGTCACGTACGTATGGACCATTAAAAGTAAAAAAAAGTACTTACAATTATTTTTAATGTAAGCGAATAAAATTTTTTAACTGTAACACAAAAGAAACATTTTTTTACTGAAAAATTTCAAGTGACAAAAATTATAACAAAAGAAACTGTCAAAAATATTATTGTATTAATATATCATTTCATAATATTACATTAATAATATAGATAAATATATATTGTGCACTGATTCTTGGGCAGTACTTGAGCGGTACTTCAGTGGCACTTGGGGGGTACTCTGCCAGCGAAGCACTATAGGGACTCCACCCTACCACATAGCTCAGTGTAGGCTAGAATTTAGAAGTATGCCAAACAAAACGTTTAATATTATATCATAAACTCATGTAATGGCTATGCAACATTTTTATAAATTTTGGTTGAATACCAAAGGATGGGCTAAAGTATAAAAAAATTTGTTTATTAATTTTTTACTCTGCAAACACAGCACATGAAACTAATACTTTCTTATAAAACACAGAGGGTCACACGTGCGTTAAATGCAGAAAAAAGTTCCACAGTCTTTGCTCTACCTCTACAAGTAACGCTACGGAAGACGACGGATACGGAGGAAAATGAATATGTCAGTCGTGTGTTGATGAACAGAATAAGGTCACTGAAAAATCTGAGGCAGAACGGTTCGAGGAATCGTTGCTTGGATCAGTTGCAAATAATGCAATTGGTGAAACATCCATCACAGATATTAAAATTGCACATGCGTTCAACGATGTTACTACTGTCATATAATGTGCTCGAAAATATGGCCTTATCTACACATATGCATTGTGGTTTATTCGTCATTATCAAAAGAGTTATGTTGATTTTTTCGACATTAATTTGACGTTTCACAACCATTCCTTGAAAGTTGTCTAAAATTGCTTAAAAAGCAAAGTACATGCTTAAGAGCTGCAAACTTTGTGTACCGTTGAAAATGTATGGTATGAGCGTTTCGAATTTCGATAATTAACAAAATGATCAGTAAATTTTATAATATTGCTAATATTGGTTATTTTTTGGATGGTTACTTTGATTCCCATT